TTCCTTGGTATTTTGTTTGATCAATAAACACAGAATTACTATTTGCGCGCAGATTACAATCTGTTCCCTTCGATCAATAAAAACAGTATTACTCAAATCTTTGTAACTACATTCTGAACCGGAAGCCTTCTCACTTTCTACTGTCTAGCTAAATTACCTAAATGCGATACACATCAAAACATACATTTCCAACATGTAAATGAAAATCGAGAGTTAAAACTCAAATAAGCGCAACTCAATCATCCCTTCTTTTCTTTTTGGGGAATACCAAGCTACGACCTTCCCTTATCGTAAAAGTCTCAAGGAGTAGCTCAAGCTGTATGTGAAATCCTCAATATGCGGAGCTTGTTTCCCGCGCAAAGAGTCAAGTGCAACCTTGGAATCAGCTCTAAAGACAATAGGCCCATAAATCTACAAAGGAAAGGTAATGTGTCAATAACAATCGGATTTTCATCCCAGTAACCAAAACATTCACCCAAGCCGCGCATGTTAATAGCCATATAAAGGAGCTCAGCTTTTCATCCTCTCATTTTAAAGTTTACGCTGATCTACTAGTCATACATTAAAGCACATGAGCAGTAAAACTACGTACAGATACATCAGCACAAAAATGATTGCAGACTATCGAAATCAGACAGGGCAGACACGTTTCCACAAGTACCAATTAGCAAATGACTATGCAGGCTTTGTAACACATTGTGCATAACTGCATTTAAAATCTCTCTTACAACTTAAGGTGCGAAACATTTAAAAAGTTAGGGAATAAATAGAAATACCTGCTGCTGAAAGATTAGATTGATCCTAGGTGAGGACATCAGATCTTTTGCACTAATAGCAGAGGAACTCTTCAAACCATTAATCACCCTTTCAGCCAAAGCTGAAGCAGAACAAATATCCACCCGAGCATCAATCCTGGTCAGATAACCGTAGACTCTCTAAATTTCCCGTGCTGGAAAGTATAGCAGAGAGAGCCGAAAAAATCAGCACTGAATGGACTTCTCTTCTTATTGCTCCTAGAATTGTCCTCGTCCCCCTTCATATCAACTGCCACTGGGTTGTACCCATCCTGAAACCAGGCAGTGCAGCTTCCACCTAAAATGTAATGCCACCATTGACCAGAAGAAGTGAGAATGGCATTACAATTTCATTTTGCAAACAAAAGGGAACTATATCACTAACAATGATTAATGTTGACAATAATAGAATTTCGTATCTGGCCTTACCAGGGGCAAACGTAAAGAAGTAGTTAAACTAAAAACCTAAAGATACTGCATACTGTCGGCAACGGTTCTAGACTCATGAACACAAAATAAAAATATTGAATTGTTCTGTTAGAATTTGTCTCTAGAATTATTTTTTATTACTATTATTTTCTTTTACCGCAGTCACATGGTATACATGTATAAGCTACACACATACAATATAAATGAAACTAAGAGGTACCAAAACACGTATACATGTATAAGCTAAAAATTATAAGATACACCTGAGTATTGGTATGAAACTTCCAAACAACTGTAACGAGATAATACAAGTTGTCACAGAAAGTATGAGTAACGTGTAAAATTACCAAAAAATCCAGATAATGCAGCATGAGGTTCTTTAAGACGCACATCATAAGATGGCCTCCAAAACCAACCCTTTTCTTTCTGTATCATGATGTCTTTTCGTGCCTCATTTTGCCTCCAAAGATCTTGGCTTTTTCCATAAGAAAAGGCAACCTTTGCGCAGAATCCAGGCATTAGAGAAGTAGGTGCCTCATCATCTATGGAATTAACTGCCTGGGGATGACCACTGTTTTTATGTACACCAATGCGGTACCGCAATCCAGATTCGGAAACAAGTGATGACATATCTAAGGAAATTGACTCAGGCACATCCCAGTATTTTCCTTTATGGTCAACGGACACTTCAGGCCATGCAGCCTCAAGTGTAATATCATGGTAAGGAAGCTGCAAACACTTTAAAGGTTGAGAAAATTTAATACATGGCTCATAATTTAAACAGGAAGATAAATGAAGGAAATAAAGGTACAGACATGAACTTATTCACTAAAACAGCTTAGGCAGCACATGTGCAATGTTAAAGGTACAGATATTAACTTTTTCAGTACATGGCTCTTAATTTATAAACCTGAAACTTTCCAATTTTATCTATGTTCCGTGCAGTGCATACGTGCAATGTTATAAAGTCATGTAACCTATAAATAAAAGTGGTAAACAGAAGAAACTTGTAAATTAAGATGTTTGAAGCATGTTGATATATATGGATAACCCACTATATTCGAGGTATGTTGACGAAGGAAATGAAAAAATTGTGGCCTACTTGAAGGTAGATGGATTATTTTCCATTCCAAGCCACCAAAATGGTAAGGATCAGAAGGGATTATTTTTCATATCCCTTCTAATCACCTCAATATGAAAAATCATTCACCTCCATCTTATTCAATTGTTTGTCCATTCCATTCCAATCCTAGAGATCAAACAAGGCCTTACTTTTCAACAATTAAGAAATTAGGAAACAATACTTTAAGATTATACATGCTGACAGAATCTGGTAAAGTTCAAGTGATACATCCCTATAATTACTTATTTTTTACTTCAATTCCTATAAGAGAAATTTGTCATATGAAAGAAAGAAAAAAATCGCAGTTGGATGATACTACAACCTGGCATGAACAAACCCAAAAAAGAACTTTAAACCTAACAACTCCAATCAGTAAACAAATTATCCACCTAGCCATAGTAATTGTACAAAAAATGAAGAAATTGACACCCATAAATCCCTCAAACTAGCTTCAAAAACCCTGCAAACAAGGGACAAAAGGAATTCTGACTGTTTAAACATTTGATTAAAGGTCAAAACAGGAAAGTAAATGCATGCCTTATGAAAGAGCATCAATTTGTTGCGGCGTCCTTTTTTCTCACCATGCCCTTCTGTGCTCAATTTGGATGATGACAGAGACAAAAGAAGCTGTGTGCATATTGCCTAATCCAAACGAATAAAGTGACTTGTCCAAGACATGCTTCACCACATCTTTCAATGTAGGGACCTCCATCTCATCGATAAATTCAGCTTTAATAGAAGAAAAGAGTTTCTTCGGGCAGAACTGCCCAATTAATCCAAGCCACCTATTTTCACGCAGATCCTGTAACAAGGGAATTAGTACGTCGGACAACTAAGAATGCTAACCGGATTTGATTAATGTGAGATGACTTTGGTCTAAGCATAAGCATAGTAACTCTTAATTCACTCCTCCAACAGAAAACATGCTCAAGGAATTAGGACATTAAACTCAACACATTTGGAAGAGTAATTTCAAAAATACAATGCATTTCCACAGTACATTCATTAGCGAGGATATTGTTCAGATTTCAAAACATCGAAACAAACTTTTTCACCTAAGAAATCCCATTAAAAAATTAAAAAAAAATTGGATAATCCCAACCAGTGCTCTGATAAACCTGATAAAGCTTTGATGCTCTGGAAAACATAAGAACCCGCTTGCAAATCAGTAAAATAACAAGGCAACAAAAAATTCATGCTTTATGTGCTACACCACTAGAACTAGGCAAACAAGCTTTGTTCGGCTGTCAAGCTTTCCATTCAAGCTCTCTTTCTCACATCAAGTAATTCACTAATAACCCAAAGTTTATAAAATATACCAACATCTTCCTAAATATCAAACAAAGAACAAACCAAACCTAGAAGCAGAGGCTCCTTAGCAATTAGTAACATAAAAATCGTTTACAAAAATACGAATTTGGAGAACAAAAAAAATGTTCATTTCTCAGGAAACAGGAGACAAATTATCTTTCCTAACCTTTTTCCTTTACCCAATTCAACCCCATAACAACAATTTCAATTGCTTTTCTCTCCAAACTTTCCCGGCAACCAAACAAACAACAAACGAATCACACCCATTTCCCATCATTTTCTCAGTAACCATACAAACCACAAACCAATCCACGGAAACACGTAAAACGAAAAAGAATATCCATTAAACGAAAAATAAAATAAATTTGAGAAAACCCAATAGCCAAGCAAAGAAGTTGTAGCAGTGTACCAGTTTAGAGGTAGCTGGTCTGAGCAAGAGGGACTGGAGAGAGAAAGAACCCAAGTCCCTGTTAGAAGTGGGGGAGTAGGAAGGTATAACACCCAAGGGGAACCCATTTCCCAGAAGAGAGAGTTGCTGAATCCTAAGGGCTCGGCTGGCTCGAGCACCGTCGAGAGGAAATGGGTCGCCGGGAACGGCCTTGGCGGAGCCCTCAAGGGTCTGAGGCGAAGAAACGTCCGAGTCCCAGAAGGCTGAGTCCATTGCCGTCCTCAGGTTCACCATTGTTGGCTGTCGAAAGATTTATTATATCCCACATTTCTCATATCCCACATTTCTCTCCAACTTCTCTTTATTTCCTATATATTTTATTGTTTAAATTTTTATATTTATTATTTACACACATGGTGCACCGCTCCATCTAGTCTATTTTATTGAAACAATAATTTTCAATCCAAGTCATTTAGTACTGCGGTGAAATAATATTTATTTTTATTTGTAAATGAGATATTTTGTGTTCGATTCTCGTCAAATACTAATTTGAATCACATTTTTGATAATCCATTATGAAATTAAGTTCACTCATTCTCCTTAGTGTGAATAATATAGTTTGTTAATAATTTTCAATCCAAGTGTGCAAGCATCCCTTCCCATAATTTCAGAAAGGGTGATGCTAGAAAGATTATATTTTAAAGTTGAGAGTTGGATTACTTAATTTAGATGACATGTACACATCTCTTGCCGCATCAAACGGTACATGAAAGTGGTCTACCTATCATTTTTCCTAAATCGTAAAAGAGAAATTCAATCATCAAGCGTCACATCATCTAATTTACAAAACATAATATAAAATTATTGTCACACCAATATTTTCCTTTCAAAAAAATAAAGTTAGCCAAACTACCTATAAATACCCAATTCAGAAAAATGCATAGTTCTCATCCCACCATAACACAAAAAAAATGAGAACTCCCACATTCTCTTTCACAACTCTCCCTCTCTACCTCCTCTTCTTCTTCTTCTCCTTCAATGCCATAACTGCCAAAAACCTCATCCCTGAAACCTGCAAAAAATTTGCTCAATACGATCCAAACCTAAGCTACAATTTCTGCGTAACCTCTCTGCAAGCAGCGACGAAAAGCCAGCGCACCGATCTTCACAAACTCGGCATAATCTCAATCAAGTTAATCCGCAACAACGCGACGGACACGAGGCATTACATCAAACACCTGCTGAAAAACAAAAAGCTCGACCCCTACGTAAGGGCGTGTTTGAGCGACTGCTTGGAGCTTTACTCGGACGCCATACCAACCATCAAGAAAGCCCTCATGAATTACAAGTCCAAGAAATACAACGCCGCCAACATTGAAGTGAGTTCTGTCATTGATGCCTCCATAACTTGTGAAGATGGATTCAAGCAAGGACGGTTGGTTTCGCCATTAACGAAGCGAAACAACTATACGTTTCAGTTGTCGATCATAGCACTGTCTTTTATCAATCTGCATAATTCACTAAATTAAATCAAATAAAGAGATACATATATATAAATATATATATATATACATACATACACACATACGAGTATATTTAGCCGTGTTTGTTCATGAATTATTTATGTATTTTGTATGTTTTTATTATTCATTTGTAGTTAATTATCCGGTGTGTTTTCTGCAATACCTAGATTTTATGTTTGTTCATTGTCTTGTTTGATTGTCTAGATGTTGTTGTTTGCAAGGTTTCCTTTCTGAATTCTGCTAGCTGTATATGTAGTGTAAAAAAATTTAATTAATCAGAAGATATGATTTGGAAATTGGTAATGGTGTGCCTTGAAGATAACATCAAGAAAGAGTAGCTTCTAATTAATCCTATTATATTAAATTAGTTTTTTTTTTTTTTTTTAGAGAGAGGTATTGGGAATGGAAAAGAAAACTAGAAGGTTCAATGTTAGGGACACGAAACGTGTTCGCATGGTGTCGTGTTATATACGTTATTTGTTAATCTTCTGTTTGCAATGGACTGAGGCTTCAAATTTCCCGGCTAATTAACACCTCGTACCATTAGACGTTGATCAATGTTGATCTTATTACCTCAACAACTATCAATTACAACCATCTCATAATGAATTAGTTATTGGTCTAGCCGTATAGAAGATGTCTCATATTTGATTCCCGTCCTTTAAGTTGGACAATTATAAAATAAAAAATAAATAGAAATTTGGTGAAGTATGTGGAGCCTTGTGGCTTGTATACAACAACTACTCTTTTTTGTTTACTAAATAAGTAGATTGCGTCATGGATGAAATTAAGGTGTTGGTGCAAAAATACTACTTTATGTGGTGCTTTAATTGTTACATGACAAAACAATATGGCCAATTCTTTTTCAGTGAAGGACATGATGACTTTCGAATACAACGTGACCAATATATCCCCTCATAACATGATGGGTTGATATTCTGAAGCTTAAATAATCACCAAAAATAATTATTTCGATAATTATAAATTATAGAAAATAATAAAATGCCAAAACTTAATATACTAAAAGGAAAATATTGTCTTCCTACATGTAAATAGCATTTCCTCCTCACAATGTGATACGTTTGTAGATATAATTTCCAATATTTGTTGCGTTAGCACAAGATATGTTTGACCAAGGCAGAATCGTGTATACAACCGGAGATATGTTCCTCGCTTCCTATATCGCCTCGGACAGGTCACCTGACAAGTGGCATTGGAAGAGAGAGAGAGAGAGAGAGAGAGAGGGATTCTAACGGGAAAAGGATCCTCGCCGGATCCTTTTTCTGGAGATCCTAGAGATCCCGTGATCGCGACCGTTCATCATACATCGTGCAGACCAAATGACAGAAAGTGTACGGATGAAATCAAGAAAAATAAGTTTGGATTTAGAAAGGGTTTGTTAGAGGCAGACCAAATGACAGAAAGTGTTCCTAAGAGAACAGGTGCATTTATAGGGAACAAAAGTGCACGTCTTAGACACGGACAATAATACTTCAGTAGAAGCGTGCCTTTCACTGTTACAATGCTTGCCAACAGAACCATGATGCTTGAAACAAGGATTCGCAAATCTAAAGCAATCGGAAACCCTGTAATGAATGATACACAGTATACAGTTTCAACTCAGAGACATGTTATCCATACAAATCAGAACGTGAAACCATGTAATAAAAAATGAATTTTAAGTTATTGAGAAGGAACACAACCAATCAGACTGATTGGATAGAAGTTAACAGTGTTAACAATTGAAGCATTGCAAAGACATTGATAGGTTTTAGTTCCAGAAGAACAACTCTTTTTTCAGAAAGATGCAAATTATTTGCAACCAACATGGTGATCAAATTTCTTCGAGCGTCGTATAGGCAGAAACAAAATTACGTTCAAACAGTTCATGCAAAGAGAAAACGCTGCTGCTAAAGAGAGTTACGCAGCCATTGGATGGTTATAGACGTACTCAATTGCCAGATTAGTGGAGTCGATCCTAACAGCTTCCAAATCTGGAATCTCTAGCTTGAACTCTTCTTCTAGAGCAATCACAATCTCCACATTATCCAAGCTATCCAAGCCCAAATCCTTCTGAAAATGTACATCAGGAGTCACCTGCCAATAATTGACGGAAAAAATCATTACTCCCAGTAAATTTCAGCTAAAAAAAATTTGATAATTGATAATGGAAAAAGAAAAACATTCTGAAAGGGAGAAACAAAGTTATATTTATTGAATATGGAAGATTAGCAATCATGCCACTGCTCGTATGAGGTTTCCAAACATATAATATAAGCACTAAAACATATTCCACAGGCACGGTTTTACATTCTTAACCGCTACAACCTACATTTTGTTCATGATTGTAACATAAAAATATCAAAGCAGTCACTGTGCAAATGCTCAATCTAGATTATGTAAAGCGTCCCATTGATAACCAACTTTTCCCTGTAAAACCCAATAAGTTTCAGATCTTGGCTAATAGTTACAAAGGACCAAAGCATATCATCATCTTAAGTCTTATCATGCCTGATCTCTTTCATTAATCAAGAGGATTTGCCTCACCAACTGTCCTATGCGGTTCAAATAGCCCAATCAGCCCCAGAACTGTGAGCTGACAATATGTCAAAAGGTCATAGTTACAAGTTACAACCATGTGACCTTTACTCGGAAGATTTGCAAAAACATCTCACCAACCCGTGCAAGCCCAAGGAAGAAATGGTACAACATCAGCATTTGATACCAAGAAAATGTGCATTACCTCCCCAAAAAAACAATCAGTATCAAAAGTTGTTTTCTTTCTCTTGCTTTCTCATATCAGCTAAATATAGGACTAGCAGTGGGTTTAGCCTATGGGAACTCTTTCGGCAGCCTGACCCTGAAAGCCTATTCTGCAGGGTCAAGTCCTACCAATGATGTCTCATCAAAGTTCCGAATTACCATCAAACACACACCAAAAAAAAACCACGATACGGCACGGGTAGAGGTACGTAATACTTACTTAGCCTACTGCCATTTAAAGATTGTTGAAAACAAAGAAAACAATGAATTCAAGAGAAAAATTACACCAACATTTCTACATTGTATTGATACCAAGAAAAATTACACAAAAATCAAGATAATTCAAATGCCCAAAAAGGGCGAAAGATTAAGACTTGGTTTGGTACGAGGTGATTCTGAAAAAAGCTGATATCAAAAAAAAGCTGGGGGCTGTTTTTGTGTTTGGTAAACATTCAGCTTCAGCTTTTTTTAACAGTTTTGAGTGAAAAAAAAGCCAAAAACAAAAAGCTGCAAAACCCAGCTTTGAAAAATCGATTTTTTTTTACATCTGTTTTACATAAAAATTTACCAAACACTATAATACTATTTTTTTTTTTCAAAAGCATTTTTACAAAAACAGTTTACCAAACACTTTGCTGCTTTATTTCACAATACAGCATAATTAACTTTTTTTTTCAAAGCTCAGCAATCCCAAACCAGCCCTAAGCAAACAAACAAAAAATGGATCCAAAATCTCATTTCTTTTCTTTTCTTCTGGTATTATTCTGTAAATTGGAACCCCAAATCGACCCTGAATTATTTCGAAAATTCATGGGGGAGATTGAGCTGAAATAATAAACTGACTGATAAAACTACAATGTACCAAAGAATAAATTGAAATCGAAGTAATCTAGCAATCAATAGCTCTAATTAACCTTTTGGTTTCCGAGAAAACCGAAGGAATAAAAACAAAAATTGGGATTTCGGATTTCGGATTTCGGATTTCGGATTTGTGATATAATGTTTACATTTTCCCGGGAAAAAAAAACAGAAAGTAGAGATGAAAAGAAGGCTGACCGTGGAAGGATCGACTTTCGGGAAGCTCTTGACAACGGAGAGGACTCTGTCGGTGACCTCGCTTTTCGTCAGATGATCGTCGCCGTGCGATGACATCCATCGGAGAGAGGGTGGGGCCCATTTGCCTCCAGTTAGGGTTAGGGCCGGGTTTAGGGTTACCGGAACTCGCACGTGCCGCAGTACGGCTGCTCTCAGCGCCATCTCTCTCTCCTCCCTCTGGTCCTGTGATAAACTCAGTCTATTTGGTTGCTCTAGGGAAATGGCGTATCGAACAAAAGCTTAGTAATCACGTGTTTGGGGCGTGATTTATCATTTTCTTGACCTTTTTATTTCTTTTGAGTTTTTTTTTATTTGTTATTTTTTATTTATTTTAATTTTATAAACATAAGAGGTTTCACATCCTATGTTGATGATAGACCTGGATGTCAGTATTTAAAATTACATATTTTTTATTATTAAGGGTGCGTTTACTAATCCGTAATCATATTGAGAGGAATTAGATTGATGAAGAATTGAAATGAGATGAAATCAGAATCAGATTCAGATTCCTATTGAAATTGTTTACTAAAACCGTCTGAAATCGGAGTAGGAATGATGTAGAGTCCATATAAGTTGTTTACTAATTCACTTCAATCAGAATTAAAACTAGTATGATTACTAAATTACCCTTACATAAATAAATTATTTTCATACTAATTAATTAAATTATACCCCATCAAATCTCCTTGCTACGTTCCCAATCCCCCATTTTTCTTCTTTCTCGTAAAGTCCACACCGCCCTCATACCCAAACTATCTTCAGCTTCCCCCTTTTATTTTTCCATCTACTTCTCCATCTCCCTCCACCTCTCTCCAACCACACAGCCACTGCAATATACCCCACAACACTATAGCAGTGGATCCACCGACACTGCAACTTCAATTCCAGGTGTTAAGAGCGTCGTTCAATTGGCAGATGCGGCACTGAACGAGTTTCAAATTCGTTCTTCGCCAACGACAACCCATTCCACCAACTTAGTCTTCGCAGCCCATCATGGCACAAAATCATCCAGAATCGTGATTAAGGTGGTGAACGTGCAAGGGAGTCAATAGACTGGGCAAAGAGAGTCATAGGTATGAAGGGGCAGGTATAAGATACAAGGGTAGTTTGGGTATAAAAGTTGGCTTCCTAGAAGAGCCTTCTCCCCGGAATCCAAATATCACCTC